CGCGCCCCCGCGGGCCCGACTCGCTCCCAGACTACACGTCCCGGTGCGCTCCGCGGGTGCGGCCTCTCGCGCGGCGCGCGGTTGCTAGGTAGCAGCGCGCCAACGACGCCAGCTGGGCTGCCGGCTGCGGGCTGCGGGCTGAGGGCAGTGTCCCGCTGACCCGAAAGCCCTGGGCACGGCCTGAGTCCGCCGCGACCCCGCGCTCCCCCGGGCGCTGGGACCTGCGGCGCAGGCGGAGCCGGAGAAGACAGGCGGCTGCAGGTATGAGGCGAGTCGGGGTGCGGGCAAGGCGCGGGCCCCATTCTGGGTCGGCTCGCCGGACACTTTCATTCTCTCGCGTGCTCATCCGTCTCCTGCTCCCCTCTTCTGGCTTCCGCTCACTGACATCTTTGGTCTTTTTCCAGCTCCTCGATTAAAGGTAACGATGCTTTTTCTTATGCCTTTCCTTTAATCGCCTCGGTACGTGGTGCTTTTTAAAAAGATACTTTCCCGTACTGTAAGCCCTGCTTCCCCAAGGGTGCCCTAATTTGGATCTATGAAAACACTAAAAGAGTTTTTAAAATAAAATCACCAAAATCAGAGCACCTATGTGTGCCGATCACATAGCTAGAAATGAATAATAGGTGGTCTCACTTACAATTCCCACTCACGAGGGATGAGACCGAGGCGCAAAGAGACGGAAGAGCCCTGGCCCAGAATTCAGAGGCATGCCCTGCATCTGCTCCTTAGCCCTGCCCCCATCCTGCTGCTAAACCGGTTCCCGGGACTACCGCACCTGTGCCGGGCCTCCCTCCCCTCAACCCCACCCCTCACGGTCTCTGAAGCGCAGCCTCTCCAAGCTGCCTTTTAGCGCCAGCTCTTCCTGCTCTTCCTTCAACCTCCTCCAATCAGATTTCCATGCGGCCACTTCTCTGAAGCTCTTTATCAAAGTCATCCTCGACCTCGGTGCTGCTAAATCTAGCGACCAGGCCAGCTCTCATGCCCTCCTACTGTCAGCGGTAGGTGACCCAGCTGACTGCTCCCCGTGGTGACACGCGGTCCCCACTTGGCTGGAGCAGATACGCTGTGCCCCCCACTCCATCCCACAGCTCCTTCCGCAGGGCCTCTGCCCCCCACCTGCCCACCTTAGAGGCCCAGGGCTCAGTCTTTGGAAGCCACTTCTGCACCCCATCCTGGAGATCACATGGTCCTGTGGTCACATGGCCTTATAAGCAACCATTTTCTCCGAAGCCTTTCAGAGACTTCCTTCTCAGCCTAAGCCCTGGGGCTTCAAACCTGTTTACCTGTTCTTCACCATGGGGACCACGGACAGACTTCAAATTCGGTGTGTCCGAAGCCACACTCCCCACCTTCTCCCATAAAGCGCCCCATACTGTTTTCTCAGCACAACTCAGAGCAGACCCAGGGGTCCTTGTCCACTGGAGGGGCGGCTGTGCTCTGTGGGTCTGTGCGTGGCTGTTCCCAGGGTCTAGGGCTCCTGCTGCTGCTTAGAAGTGCCTCTTGTAGGCTTCATACTTTGAAATTATACTCTTAAAGGCTGGCCTGAGGAAGGTAGATACATCTGCTAGGATTAGGTTCACCTAGCTGCATGCAATAAAAAATCCCAACATCATAGAGGCCCAGACTGTTCATGTTTCCAGGAAAGAGTCCCACCGACAGTCGTGAAGGTAGGTCCGGCACCCCGCCGTCAGAGATCAGCTTTTCTAGCTGTCATTGTTTCCTGTTTTCTCACAATCCAGAATGACTGCCTGAGCTCTTGCCATCACCTCCTGAGCCTAGGCAGGACATAAAAAAGAGAAGAAGGCTATATGTCTTTCCCTCTCAAGAAGACTTTCCAGAAGTCTCACACCCTCCTACTTCACAGAGGTCAAGAACTCAGTCATGTGACCATACTCCCCTGCCAAGGAGGCTGGGAAATGTCATCTTTCAACTGAGGAGCAATAGGCCCAACTACAATCTGAGATTCTGTTACTCAGGAGGAAGGAGAGAGTCGAGATTGAAAAGCAAGCTGCGGAATCCGCCACCGGGGGCTGCGCTTAAAGCATAAGCCATTGGGGCAGGACTTGGCAGCAGCCTCAGGAGACTGGCTTCAGTCATGGGAAAAGAACATATTTTAATTAACATGCATTTGGGATCTTATGCAAATAAGCGTCTCTAGTGGCTGAGCACGTTGAGCTGGTTTGTGTCTGGTGGAATTTAAGCCTCCTCCTGTACTCCTCCTGTCTGTAAGGGCGGCTGAGGGGAGAGAAGCTCTGCTGCAGCCCACCTGTCAAGTTGCCTTAAGTGGGAGACAGTCAGGTCCCGGTTAGTGGAATCAAAAATCAATATGAGAAAAACATCAGTAAGCTTGGGAATTGAATCCCACCTCTCACATTTCCTACCCAAAGATGTGACTGTTCTGACCAAGATCACAAGCAGTTTTCGGCGGGGATTCAGAATCCAAGCATCCTTTTCCTCGTGCCCATCCTCACACTGCACCTGCTGTGTGCCAGAAGTCAGGGTACAGAGCCTGCGCCCCGGCCCCTCAGGCCACACGTGAGCCAGAGTTGCACAGTGGGTGGCTGGAGTCCAGCTGGGCTCAGAGGCGCCCTCTCCCTCAACCCCTGCTCAGTTCAGACCCGAATTCCATCCTGGCTCTTCTGCAGCCTGCCCTGGCCTGGTGGGCTTAGTGTGGTTCCTGCCTTCTGCATGGGTGCCCGAGCCGTGCTTTTCTCAGAACAGTCCACACTGCAAGACGGGAGGCAGCAGGACACAGCCCACCCTGGGCCCCGGAGCAGCTCCCGCTTGCACACAGTTACACACATGCACACGCACTCACGCACGCATGCACGCATGCATACCCCAGCAAGGAGTACTCCAGGCAGTGCCACACCCCAAGCAGGTGCTAGGAGGGGGAGTCCCTGCCCCACCTCCTCCTGTGGTTCTGGGGAGGAGAACAAGAAAACTCGCTCTTCAACACTGTCTGTAAACACAGTTTCCCCCAGGTTTACTCCTTTCCTTGCAAGTCCTGGATCCCACGAAGGCCTGGCTCATCCTGAGAGGTCACCAGGGGTCGGGCAAGGAGGACACCAGCCTTGGCCTTGGGCTCACATGGGGAGAAAACTTTGGGGACAGGGATCCCCCACCCCACCCCCATCCCAAACCCTGCTTAGCACAGACTTTGTTTTCTTCCTTCCTTGGAAAATACTCTTGCAGCATCTATCTCCCAATTAAGTGAGATGATAAAATTTTACTCTGTGACACTCCAGGATGCATGTAAATAAAAGCTTTAGAAAACATACTTCGTAAAAGTGAGTGTGGTCTCCCTGGCTGAGGAAGTCATCTTTTCAAGTCAAACTAAGAGCAGCACAGTTGAGGGTGCGCAGTCCTTTTTCTGTTTTACCCTCGCCATGGATTCCAGACATTTCTGGGCACTGGCGAGGTGCCCGCTCTGGGGTGAGGGCCAGGGCTTGGGGTGAAGAGGCAGGGCCCGCCCACGCGCTCCCAGAGCAGCCCTGCAGAGGCTCTCAGGTGACGTCAGGGGCAGGGCAGGGTGTGCATTGGAGGGAGGAGGAGGAGGATTATTTGGGGTCTAGGAGCCCTGTGGGAAGCAACTGCTAAACCAGTGAGAGGGTGTAGGGGGCATCTCAAGGGGGAGCCTCAGCAGTGAAGGGGGCTCTGTTGGTGGTGGACGGAGTGGACCCCTCAAGCCATTCCTCTCCAGACCCCTCCCACCCCAGCCCCCAGAGCTGGGGTCCAGACCCTTGGGCCCTGGCGGGGTGGGAGGGACTGCAAGCCCGTCTGTCTGAGTGACCTCACCTGCAGAGTCTGCACCCTTTGGGACATGGGTGGGGAGTGTCCCTGAACTCAGAACTAACTGGCTGCAAGGCAGCCACTGGAGGCATCTCTGAGCAGGACGCCCCAGCTCTCACCCCACCTCCCCCTGCGACAGGAGGGTCAGGCACTGTGGGCCAGCATGTGTGAGCACTTGAACATCGGCTTCTGTCCATGCTCACCCAGCTGAGAAGAGATTTTGCCAGGGCACAGAGCATGTCACGGTTTGCACTCCAGGCAGGAGGGGACCTGGGAGCTCCCCACCCACAGCTGCCTTCAAGGCAGGTCCTGGAACGTTGGGATCATTCCACTGCAGACTGAGCAGGAGTGGGTCAAAGGCCCCACAGCCACACCTGAGGGGCAGGTGACACCGCAGAACAAGTGGCTGGACTACGGCAGCAACTCACCTCCAGGGTGCTGGAAGGAGTCACCCCACCCGGCGACAGCACCAGGGCTGTGGCCCTGTCCCTATCTCCCTCCTCCTCCCCACCACATGGGCCCCTGTGTCCTCAGCCCCACAGGGACACCTGGTGCTCAGCACCCGCAGCCCTCATCCCCTTGCCAGCCTGCAGCCTTGGCACAGAGGCTGAGCACCGGTCCTTGATTGCCCAGCAGGTTGGGAAGCCGCTCAGACCCCTTCCTGTGTCTCAGGATGGGCCATCCCACCCTCCAGCCGTGCCTGGGGGCCCTTCCTGATGCTCTAGCTCTGCCTGGGGGCTCTGCCCCTCCACTCCCCTTCACAGTCATGAAGCTGCCTGGGGGACAGAGGCCAGAATTCCTCAGTGCCAGCAGCGCCAGTCCCTTCTCTGCTCTGTCTGGCTCGGGATGGTGGCCCACCCCCAGCACACCCCAAAGGCCTTAGTTATCCTATGGAGGCTTTTTTGGTTGGCTGGTGTTAGTGCTGGTTTTTCGGTACTGGGGATCGAAGCCAGGGATGCTCTATCACTGAGCTATGTCCCCAGCCCTTTCTATTTATTTATTTTTTGTTTTGAGATAGGGTCTTGCTAAGTTGCCCAGGCTGGGCTTTGGGCTCATGACCCTCCTTCCTTAGCCTGCTGGACTCCGGATATCATGTTGCACCTCCACACCCAGCACACTATAGAGTTTTTAGAAGCACCGAGATGTGCGTGGCCTTGGTGATGATGGGGGCAGGACCCCTGAGCCGCCCTCCTCTCCCTGTCCCCAGGCTCCCAGGGACTCCTGCACAGAGAGGCCTGGCCCCACCCCACCAGGCAAAGTGCTTCCTGCCCCATCAATCCAGTCGTGGTCCCCAGGGCCCAACGACAGCCGCTGGGATCAGGCTATGTCATAGATGCCTGGCCTGCTCAGCCCCTCCAGGGAGAGGACGCCACACTCCACCAGGCCACAATGCCCACAGGGTGTAACACCTGTCATGTGGTGCAGCCCTGCCCTGAGTGTGTCGTGAGGTGAGGAGCCAGGGACAGGCGCTTCTCCCTGCCAAAGGTGCTGGCTGGGCAGCACCCCCAGGAGACTCACAGGAGGTGGTCTGAGCGACCCAAGGTGGTGAGAGGACCCTGGGGGGGCGGTGAGTGGGGCGGTGTCTGTCCCACCACCCAGCCTTCAGCCTACTGAGGGTCCTGCAGGACTCGGGTGGGGGCAACGCTGGCAGGAAGTGCCCGGGCAGATAAGCTGGCTGAGGGGCTAGGTGGCCTTGAACAAACCTCGTCTTGCACAGGGCTACATCAGGTCGAGAAGTCCGCAGCTCAGGGCTGTGGATTTGTCCCTGTAGTGGATTTAGTTTGGTGGCATCCAAGCTGTAGAACCCCTGTCTGTCCCCTGCCCTGTCATCAGGACCACACTGGCCTGGGAGGAGGCCACAGCGAGGCTGCTCCACAGACTCCAGCCATGGGGCAAGGGGACCCGGTGCCAGGCAAGCCAGGGTGGGGATGGCATGCCGGCGGCTCACTCACTTGGTTCTCAGGGACCAGGGCCTGTTTGGGGCATCAGGGCTTCAAGCCCATTTTCAGAGGCTGTTCCGTTGGCCTCATTGAGAAAGCTGCTGCTGGCTCTGAGTCATGCAGAGCAGGAAGGTGGGGGGCTGGAGTAGTTATGCAGGGCCCAGGCTGCAGCCAGGGGCAGTGGGGACACAGATGTCCCCGCCTCTTTCCCGCCCTGCTCAGGGAAGCCCACCCAGAAGCATCTGGGGCAGGCTCTTAAGTCCCTGGCCACTCACAGTGGCATCCAGGGTCACCTGCCTCTCCTTCCTGTGATACGTCTCCCCCGGGCTTGCTTCTGAGGATGGGCAGAACCTTGGGGCTGGCAGGTACTCCCCTGGGTGCTCACCAACAGAAGCCGAAGCTGCTCTGCAACCCTGGTCTACACTGAAAGCATCCTGGGATGTCTCCTGCTTGCAAATTCATGATTCTTTCTGGGCATTGTCTTGTGCTTTCCCTCTCTCTCTCTTTCTCTCTCTCTCTGTCTCTCTCTCTCTGTCTCTGTCTCTCTGTCTCTCTCTCTCTGTCTCTCTCTCTGTCTCTCTCTCTGTCTCTCTCTGTCTCTCTGTCTCTCTCTCTCTCTGTCTCTCTGTGTCTCTGTCTCTGTCTCTCTCTGTCTCTCTCTGT